ACATAGTACAGGAGATGACCAGAGACTGCGGACATATTACAGGAGATGACCAGAGACTGCGGACACAGTACAGGAGATGACCAGAGACTGCGGACACAGTACAGGGGATGACCAGAGACTGCGGACACAGTACAGGAGATGACTAGAGACTGCGGACACAGTACAGGAGATGACCAGAGACTGCGGACACAGTACAGGAGATGACTAGAGACTGCGGACACAGTACAGGAGATGACCAGAGACTGCGGACACAGTACAGGAGATGACCAGAGACTGCGGACACAGTACAGGAGATGACCAGAGACTGCAGACATAGTACAGGAGATGACCAGAGACTGCGGACACAGTACAGGGGATGACCAGAGACTGCGGACATACAACGGCAGTGGGAATACTGGGCCGGGCCGCTCCATAAGACTCACAGACATTTCCCCCCAAGTGTGTCTTATGGAGCGAAATATATGGTAAATGCAGGACACCTTGTTGGATCAGATCTGTGTACAATGTAAAGAGAGAAAGGGGGGAAGAGATAAGGAAGGGAGAGAGAGAGAGAGAGAGAGTGGAGGGTGGAGTATAGAGAATGGAGGGGAGGAGAGAGGAGGGGGGAGAGATGAGGGGGGGATATAAAAAGAGGAGGGCGAGGCAGAGAGAGAGAGAGAGAGGGAGAAGAGAGGGGAGGGAGAGAGAGGGGGGGAGGAGAGGGAGGGAGAGAGAGAGAGAGAGAGAGAGAGAGGGGGGGGAGAGAGGGGGAGGGGGGTGAGAGAGAGGGGGGAGCGCGAGGAGGGGGAGTGAGAGGGGGGGGGGGGGGGAGAGAGAGAGGGGGGGGGGAGGAGGGGGGGGAGAGAGGGGATAGAGGAGGGGGGAGAGAGGGGGGAAGGGGGAGAGAGAGAGGAGGGGGGGGAAGAGAGAGAGAGAGAGATGTATTTTTCTGCATGTCTTTGGTAAAACAAAATCTCAATAGGTGTATATTAATTGGTTTGTGTGAAAGTTATAGCGCCTACAAATGGCGGTATAGATATTGTAATGTATGCCATTTTTTGCTATACAGTGCTGCGCTAGTTTAACTGACAATTGCACGGTCATGCAATACTGTAAAAAAATTTAATTTATGTCCTTTTTTTTGCACAAATAGAGCTTTCTTTTGGTGGTAGTTTTATCACCTCTGGGGTTATTTTTTGTGCTATAAACAAAATAAGAGCAACATTTTTTTTAAATAATATTTTCTCATTTCTGTTGTAAAAAAATATCCAAAAAACTAAAAATTTGTCAAAAAATTTAGGCCAAAATGTATTTTGATATGTCTTTGGTAAACAAAATCCCAACAAGTGTATATTAATTGTTTTGTGTGAAAGTTATAGCATCTACACACTATGGTTTAGAAAATGGAATTTACACAAATTTTTCTTTCTGACTGCCCATCACATTTCTTGACATGCTAAAATACCAGGACAGTAAAAACATCCCCAAATTACCCCTTTTCAGAAAGTAGACACCCTAGGCTATCTGCTGAGAGGCATGTTGAGTCCATGGAAGATTTTTTTTCCCCCAAGTCATTGGAAAAGAACAATTTTTTTTTTTTTTACAAAAAATTGTCACTTAAATTATATATTGCTGACACATGCCATGGGCACATTTGGAATTACACCCCAAAATACATTCTGCTACTTCTACTGAGTATGGGGATACCACATGTGTGAGACATTTTGGGAGCCTAGCCACATACAGGAGCCTGAAATCCAATGACCACTTTGAAAGCCTGAAGGTGCGTAACTTCCTCATTTCACTTCCTCACTACCTATAACAGTTTCGAAGGCCCTGAAATGCCAGGATAGCACCCTCCCCCCAAATGACCCCTTTTTGGAAAGTAGACACCACAAGGAATTTAAAAAGAGGCATGATGAGTATTTTGCAGATCTCATTTTTTCTCACAAGGTTTTGAAAAATAAAAAAGGAAAAAGAAAAAATATGTTTTTTGTTTGCTTTCTTCATTTTCTAAAAACTTGTGGCAACAAACGAGATCTGCAAAATACTCACCATGCTTCTTATCAAATTCCTTAGGGTGTTTTCTTTCCTGAAAAAGGGGTAATTGGGAGGGAGGGGGTCATACTATTATGGCATTTCAGGGCCTCCGAAACTGTGATAGGTAGTCAGGAAGTGTAATGAGGAAATAAAGCCGTTTAAAAGCCTGAAGGTGCTTAATGGATTTTGGGGTTCTGTACTTTGCTAGACTGCCAAAAAGTCACTCACATGTGGTATCCCTATATAGCAGAATGTATTTTGGGGAGTAATTCCACATATACCCATGGCATGTGTGAGCATTATATCATTTAAGCGACAACTTTGTGTAAAAAAAACTATTTTTTTGTCATTTTCCAAAAACTTGTGGTGAAAAAATGAATTCTTCTATTGACTCAACATTGTCTCAGCAAATGGTTTGGGGTGTCTACTTACCAAAAAGGGGTAATTTGCTGCTGTGTAAATTTGGATGGACGTGTCTGCGTGAATGGAAGACAGAACAAAAACATCCCGTTTGTCCTTCTACTTCACTGTGAGCAATTCCTCATTTCTCAAGCAGGCTTTTCCCCCCTTTCTAAGATGGGTATTTACAAGCCATTGGGGGAAGCCCTGGTGATTAGGTTGCATGGTGCCACATGACCCTGACCCAATTCCATGATTGTACAAATGTCTAAATAGTGGCACGCTTGAATAAAAATTGTCCACGTATAAGTGGTACCCCATATTGAAAAAGGATGACAAAAGTCCCAAACTATCTTGCCACGGATCCCCATGTAGTCTAGGCATCTGGGGGGCTCCAAGTGACTATCTTTTCCCTTGTAAATCTGCAATTTACATATATAGCCTGTTGGCCTCTCACAGGTCTTATACATCTTGACCCAATATCTGGCACGCTTGCTGGGAAGAAATTGTTTAAATGCAAGGCAGCTAGAAAAATTAATGAGGGACTCATCAACACAGATGTTTTGCTGGGGAGTATAAACATCTGCAAATTTTTGGTTAAGGTGATTTACCAGGGGCCGAATTTTGTGAAGCCGGTCAAATTCAGGGTCACTCCGAGGATGACAGAGTGTATGGTCATTGAAATGCATGAAACGTATTATATTCTCATATCTATGCCTGGCCATGGCAGCAGAGCACATGGGCATATGATGAATCAGGTCTGCGGACCAATATAACAGCAATTTAGTAATTCCCATGTTGAGGGTTAGGCCCAAAAAAACTTTAAATTCAGAAACCGTAATAGATTTCCATGCAAATGGTCTGGCAAGGTTTGAATTTGGGTTGGCAGTGATAAACTGTTATGCATATAAATGGCTTTGATCCACAATCAATGCATAGAGATCTTCTGTGAAAAACAGCTCCAAAAAATCAAGGGGAGTAGTTAAAGTTGCTGTTTCCACCTGAATTCTGAGTTTGGCAGTGAATGTGGGAAGTATCCTGCAGAATCTGTGGGCTGCCAATCAGGATTTGCAAGCACATTCGGAAGAACACTATGGGCTTTACGGGTCTGTGTGCACATTCTTGGGGGTTGCAGGACACTACTTTTGCTAGCCACCACACCAGCTTTTACTGCACTTATGGGACTCACCATGTCACCAAGTGATACTGCAGTGATGGTATGCAAAAGAACAGGATGTACTAGGTCACTGGTGCTCACCAGCTCACCAAAAGGTAGAGCGACACTAGTACTGGCACCCTGCTGCATATGAGAATCATCATGTAATTGTAACATCTTAGCAACCTGGGAATGGTGTCAGGTACGCCTGACCTTAGCAGGGACCTCTACTCCACCATCTGAGCTATCTGTCAGGGTGCCACTGATGTCTACAGGTTTGTATTCTTAGGCACATTCTGTCAGTGAGGCTTCCCCTTCACTCAGAATCCTGTAGGCCCCTTCACTAAAGTACCTTTTGTTAGACATTTTGGACACTAAATTTTTAGGTACCTAGTGCCCCTCATGGGAAAAAGAGCACCTGGCTATCAGGGACTGCTTGAACAACTACAAAAAAATGTACCAGCAAGTGCTAGCAGAGATCAGGCCTGATTCTATGAACACTGTGGTTTTGTGTGCAATGTATCAACTGACAGTGACCTACTGACACTGCACTTGCTGGGGCAGAAGGGGGGGGAGGTTAGGCATAGGGGCTAAATACAGGTGCTGGCCAGTGTCGGGGCAGATCCCACTAATTCTGTGTTTTTGGGGACACTATACTAATATGAATGCTGGTATAGCGCTGATCTGATCAAAGATATTGATCCGGTCAGACACTATACTAGCAATGGAGGTTTATTGTGTATGTGAGCGTGTTCCTGGCAATTAAGGGGTTAAATGTGATGACTGATGTAATGGTGGACAATCTGATGTTATCTGAGAGGGACGCTAACTGATGCTAACACTATCTGAAGTTGCCGGTAACACTAATACAGTGATCAGTAAAAAAAATCTGTACTCTCTCTGGGATGGAATGTGCCCACAGAGAAAAGATTGCATAATTTCCCGTACCTGTGTAAATGTAAACACAGGTACAGGATGATATGATAGGCCAGAGATCAATCAGCAGATCCAGGCCGAACATCACTGGCGTGAATCTGCTGATTGATCGGGGTCGGACACCGAATCACGGCACCAGCGGGTCGGTCTCTAGCCCGCAATCACGGCAGGAGAGCGCATATAATGTAATTTTGCGCAGAGAGTCCTGTCCTTTAGCAGTATTACTATTACAGGACCGACTTAAAGCGGTTTACAAACATTTCATTCTTTTGTTTTTCAAGAAGAAATGAGACAGAAGCTTTTACATCCAGAAGACCCAACATCCAAACAAAGCGAAGTAACTTGGTATATGCAGTAATGTGCAGTGAGAAACGTAAAGACCTATACTTTGGGGAGACCAAACAACTTCTGAACATTATGGGTGGAGCTCCCTAAGAGTGCAGCTTACAGTAAATAACTTGTGGGAGTACAGTTGTGCGACTGACAACTCATGGGGCCCCCGGGCAATAGGGGATCATGGGGCCCCTGTGTCCTTGCCTAAACTCAAAAAAGCCTATGAAAAAAAGGTACCAGGGGCATCTTATGGGGCCCCCTACTGACCCCGGGCCCTCGGGCAGTGCCCGAGTTTCCAAATAGTCAGTCCACCCCTGGTTGTGCGCAAAAGTTTGCATACCCTGGCATAAAAAAAATAAAATTTTGGCATAGATATTGAAAAAATTACTGATCATGCCAAATGACTGTCTTGTATTTGAGGGCAGTGATCAGCCATTCATTATCACACAGTTGTTTGACTCCTTTTTAAATCATAATGATAACAGGAATCACCCTGAACAAACGTTTCCCTCACCTGGAATGTTTGGCCTTGATACAGACACACAAGGTGACACACACAGATTAAAATGGCAATTAAATGTTAGTTTCCCAGATCTGTGGCTTTTTGAATTGCAATCAGTGTCTGTGTGTAAATAGACAATGAGTTTGTTAGCTCTCACGTGGATGCATTGAGCAAGTTAGATACTGAGCCTTGGGGAGCAGAAAAGAACTGTCAAAAGACCTGCGTAACAAGGTAATGGAACTTTATAAAGATAGAAAAAGATCTAAAAAGATATCCAAAGCCTTGAATATGCCAGTCAGTGCTGTTCAATCATTTTTTTTATTTTTTGATGGAGATCAGAAGCCTGCCTTAATGCTTTGGCACTTGGGTTCCAAAAATACACATGCAAATTATACAGTAGGATGGGTTCCCTCTGAGAAACAGTGAAGGAAAAGTATCTTGGGATGCTTGTAGATCACAGACTTAGCAATACATGCAACGCCAAGTCACAAATGACAAAGCCAGCAACTAAAGTTGTACATTCCATAATTGTATCCCTTTACAAACAGTGGTTCACTGTCATCTTTAACCCCTTGCCCTCCAGAGGATTTACCCCCCTTCCTGACCAGGCCATTTTTTGCATTATGGCGCTGTGTTATTTAACTGACAAATGCGTGGTCATGCAATGCTGCACTCAAATGAAATGTATGTCCTTTTTTTCCCCCACAAATTGAGCTTTCTTTTGGTAGTATTTGATTGCCTGTGTGTTTTGTATTTTTTGCGCTACAAAAAAAAAAGCCTGACAATTTTGAGAAAAAAAAAAGATATTTTTGACTTTTTGCTATTAAACATGTCCAGTAAAAAAATTTTAAAAATCAAATTTCGTCATAAATTTAGGTCAAAATGTGTTCTGTGACATGTCTTTGCTAAAAAAAATCCCAATACGTGTAAATTAATTGGTTTACGTGAAAGTTATAGTGTTTACAAATGGCAGTATAGCTACTGGAATTTTTTTTTAGAATTATTACTAGTAATGGCGGCGATCAGCGACTTATAGCGGGACTGCAGGACTGTGGCGGACATTATGACACTTGGGGGAACTGACTTGGTGTCACTGACATTCCCAGTGATACCAATACAGTGATCAGTGCTAAAAAAAAAGCACTGACACAGTACTAATGGCACTGGGCAGGAAGGGGTTAACATAAGGGGCGATCAAACTTTGTGCAGGGAGTGTTTTATTAGGGGGCAGTGTCTGTGTGCTTCACTGTAATCACACTGCTCTGGATGGTTGTGCTGTGCACAGCCATCCAGAGCAGTTTGCCCTAGCTGACAGGGAGGAGAACTGTTAGTAAACAAAATAGTCCTCCTCTCTGTTGGAGATGCACGGGCGCTGGTGGGTAATCACCATCTGTGATTGACAGCCACAGCCACGAATGGCAAAGCTATTAGGGATCGCGCGCATTCCCTGCCCGGAAATGCTAAATCACGTATATATAAGTGATTTTGAGCACCCCTGCCACCCTGTAGCAGTATATCTGGGAAGGCGGTTAATACTGTATGTAGTTCAGTTTTGGTCACCAACCTCTGGAAAAAATGTTTTTGAATTAGAAAGAGTTCAGCAAAGAGCTGAAAATTATGGATGAGGGAGATGGAGGACCTCAGCAATGAGGATTAATTACATGGATTCCAGTTATCTACTCTAAAGAAAAGGCAATTAAGAGGAGATATTGACAAATATATCAAAGGTGACTTCAGTAACTATAACAAACTGTTTACTCCAAGGTCCATGAAGAGGGCATGTGGCCATGATTTTAGGTTAAAAGAAAAGAGGTTTAATCCTAGATTGTGGAAAAGATTCTTTACTGTTTGAGCAGTAAAATTTTGGAACTCCTTCCCCTAGGAAGTAGTATTAGCTTAGAGTGTTGACAACTTCAATAAACCTTTAGATGTTTGTCTCCAGAAGTAGAAAATACAGGGCTATGCAAATCACATACACTCTACGTAACATAGGAGGACAAATTCTACATGTGAAGACTTGTGGACAGTGAGGTGCATATTTTGCACAGAGAGGACACATGGTTTGCACGAGGTGTGAAAATATACAGCAAACTGGTAAAAGCATTGTAAAACAAGCATGGAGGTCTCTTCATCCCTTGTCTCCCACATTTAGTGGGTTCTAGATTGTTATAATTTGTTTGAGCTGGACCAAGGGCGGACTGACCATTTGGAAACTCGGGCACTGCCCAAGGGCCTGGCATCAGTAGGGGGCCCCATAAGATGCCCCTGGTACCTTTTTCATAGGCTTTTTTGAGTTTGGGCAAGGACACAGGGGCCCCATGATCCAGTATTGCCCGGGGGCCCCATGAGTTGGCAGTCCGCCCCTGAGCTGGACTTCTACTTTAGGTCTCTCAGTGCCTATAAATGATCATTGCCTGGGTAGCTAAGCCCTAAAAGGACAGATGTACCTTGAACCAAATAAACACTTACCCACTCTCCAGCCACCAGTCTTGGAGTATTGCCCTATACTAATCTGTGATGGTGTAGACTACAGGTATGGCTGGTGATGAAGTGACTATCCATCCATAAAGAAGGTTACTGAGGTAAATAGGTAGCGTGGATGGGGGAGTTTGAATGTAGATTTGTTTAGGGGCCTAGGAAGGAAGTATTAATTTGTTAAACAAACAGCTGTACTTTGGACAAAGTTTTCAAAATATTTAATTAACACATTATTTTTCTTTTCCATAGCTCAATCACTATCTGAAAAATGTTTATTTCAAGACCCTTGGTGAAGAAGAAATGTATTTTAATGAAGATAGGAGTTTTCCTGCAAAGTTTGACATTTTAAACTTTGTGGCATGGCCAAATAGTACAACAGAAACAAAGATGGTTGGATATTATCAGGAAAAAGGTGGTGACTATGAATTATACATTAATAACAGAGACATCCACTGGTACCCGCTTTTCACTAAGGTATACAGGTGTAAATTCTTAGCCTAGCAGTATCCTCTTAATTAGGGATGATGTATGTATTCGCTGCCACCATGGGATTGAGGCAAATCAGGATCAAGATTTGTGGTCCAACAAATTTATGTGCAGATTCTCCCAGAAGAATTATTTTAAACTAAAATGGACTGCATAACGAGTGAACTATAGTTAGCAGACTTAGAAGGACCGATAAGAAGCTTTTGGTTAAGCCAGCCCCCTCACAATAAAAAAAGGGGGTAGAGCATAGCCATAGTGTCAGTTTATTGGAAGTTGTTGTAGGAAGAAAATAAGGAAAGCTGACAAATACAGAAGGAAAAATTAGGGTGAGATAGGAAACTGCACTTTAATTTTGATTCCTAGCTCTTTGGGCAGTCAACCCTGGATCATCGCTTCTTGGAGCTGCCTTTTGGAGTAATACACTACTCAAAAAAATGAAAGGAACACTTTGAAAAAACATCAGATCTCAGTGGGAAAAAATCTCATGCTGGATATCTATACTGATACAGTATGGACGGGGTAATGTGTTAGGAACGTAAGGATGCCACATCCTTTGATGGAAATGAAAATTATCAACCTACAGAGGACTAAATTCAAAGACACTCTGAAAATCAAAGTGAAGAAATTATGCAGCAACTTACTCCATTTCGCTGAAATTTCATTGCAGCAACTCAGAATAGTATTCAGTAGTTTGTATGGTCCCCATGTGCTTGTATGCATGCCTAACAATGTCAGGGCATGCTCCTAATGAGACGACGGATGGTGTCCTGGGATATTTCCTCCCAGATCTGGACCAGGGTACCACTGAGCTCCTGAACAGACCGAAGTGCAACCTGGTGGTGTCGAATGGACCAGAACATGATATCCCAGAGATGTTCTATTGGATTTAGGTCAGGCGAGCGTGAGGTTCATTCAATTATATCAATTCCTTCATCCTCCAGGAACTGCCTGCATACTCTCGCCACCTGAAGCTGGGCATTATCGTGCACCAGGAGGAACCCAATACCCACTTCACCAGTGTAGGGTCTAATAGTGGGTCCAAGGATTTTATCCCGATACCTAATGGCAGTCAGGGTGCCATTGTCTAGCCTGTAGAGGTCTGTGCGTCCCTCCATGGCTATGCCTCCCCAGACCATCACTGACCCACCACCAAAACGGTCATGCTGAATGATGTTACAGGCAGCATAACATTCTCCATGGCTTCTCCAGACCCTTTCACGTCTGTCACATATGCTCAGGGTAAACCTGCTCTCATCTGTGAAAAGAAAGGCACAGGGCGTCAGTGGAGGATGGTGTTGGGCCGTGAGCACAGGGCCCACTAGAGGACGTGGGCCCTTAGGTCACCCTCATGAAGTCTGTTTCTGATAGTTTGGTCAGAGACATTCACACCAGTGGCCTGCTGGAGGTAATTTTGTAGGGCTCTGGCAGTGCTCATCCTGTTCCTCCTTGCACAAAGGAGTAGATACCAGTCCTGCTGATGGGTTAAGGACCTTCTAGCTCTCCTAGAGTAACTGTCTGTCTTCTGGAATCTCCTCCATGCTCTTGAGACTGTGCTGGGAGACACAGCAAACCTTCTGGCAATGGCACATATTGATGTGCCATCCTGGAGCAGTTGGACTGCCTGGGCAACCTCTGTAGGGTCTAGGTATCGCCTCATGCTATCAGTAGTGACACTGACCCTAACCAAATGCAAAACAGTCAGAAAAGATGAATTGGGAAAAAAATGTCAGTGGCCTCCACCTGTAAAACCATTCCTGTTTTGGAGGTCATCTCATTGTTGCCCATTTAGTGCACCTGTTGTTAATTTTATTAACACA